GTAGCGTCCTTGCTCCTAGTAGCGATGCCCTTTGCTCCTAGTAGCTTGTTGCTTCTAGTGATGCCAGGAACTACTAGAAGCGTGCTTGCTAAGCTCGCTAATTCCTTTAGGGACGATCTATTGATTTGCAAGACACCAAGCAAAACACAACAAGTCAAAAAGTCAGAAACATCAAAAGGCAAAGATAAAGGAAACGAAAGCACGCAGCGAGACTTTTGGACTTTTCGATACTTTTCGAGATTTTTGGACAGCAGTCAGGCTGTGCCCTTCAACAAAAGTCTAGCAGAATTGATCCAAACAATGCTTTTGCTCCTACAGCTATAGGTATAGGTTGCTGTTTTCCAGACATCTCCAGCCGTGTCAAAGTGAGTCAGCCTCGAGCAAGAACGCCTTCAAAAAAGAGACGCCCGCCAAAAGGGGGTGATTCTTTGTATCATCGTTGCCTTTTCGCGCACTTTTCGACCTTTCGACTTTTCGCGAAAAGTTGAGAGCAAGTAGATCCAGCTCACACATTTAGCAACCACAGTGCTCCTAGTAGCAATGCCCTTTGCTCCTAGTAGCTTCTTGCTACTACATTTGGTCAAAAGAAACTGACTGTTTCCGCTTTTTCTTCATTTGTTAACTGGCTTGGCCCTTTAGACCTTTCCTCGTTTCCCCTTTGAAGTTTACTTTCTATGTTCTATTCAACTTGAGGCCAAGGGGGCGGGCGAAAGCTAGCGCTCCAGAATGGGAAAGTGGAGGGCAGCGAGGTAGGAAAAAACACGGCGCTCTTTTTGGAGGCCGGGGTGAAGAGTCCTTTATATGTGGCTCTTTGCCCGGATCCTCCTGCGAGAGAAGAGAGAGAAGAGAGACGGAAAGACGAGAGACAGAGAGGAGAGAGAGAGGAGAGAGAGATGAGAAAGAGATGAGAGAGATGAGAAAGAGATGAGAGAGATGAGAAAGAGATGAGAGAGATGAGAAAGAGATGAGAGAGATGAGAAAGAGATGAGAGAGATGAGAAAGAGATGAGAGAGATGAGAAAGAGATGAGAGAGATGAGAAAGAGATGAGAGAGATGAGAAAGAGATGAGAGAGATGAGAGAGAGATGAGAGAGATGAGAGAGATGAGAGAGATGAGAGAGAGAGAGAGACAGTGAGACAGTGAGAGTGAGCGAGTGCGGCCGCAAGATACGCAACGCTAACCGCATGCCAAAGAGCGACGACAGGACGGAGGACGGAGTCGAACTTGCGAAGAGGGAGGAGGGAGGGAGGGAAGGTGGGA